GCAGCCATACAGGCAGTCTTAACACTGCTTGTGCACATGCAGTCAAATACTTTCTGAGATAGTGCATGCACTGCTTGTTTTACTACAGAGCAAAATGTTTTTTGAGTACCAAGTTGAATGTCCCAAATACAATTTGGCATGTGTATGAGTGAGCATAGAGAGCATGCTAATCATGAAAGTTTTTATACTGCATTTTTTAACATGACGGATAGTTTAAAAAAATATATTTTAGTCACTCATGGAAACCACCACAGAATGTTATTCAGTAGCATGTACATGTTATATGTAAATATTTTAGGAGGAGGAGGGCAGGCAAAATTGGTCTTGCCTACATTGAATATAAAATTAGTTCACACAACTAAAGTTTCTCCTGTTGATCATTGGGAAATTTTGGTGAGTGGCATACTCAAATCACGCATGCTTCTGGTATTTGCTAAGGCTTTTCATATCTTTCTTTAGGGCACAATATTGTCTGATCACTTAAGGGAATCCTTCAGGATCTGAGGTTTTAAGTATTCAGTGCCCCAAGGAACTTTCTGGCAGGGTATGAAGAGCAGCAGAGGGTTTTTAGCCTATACTCCTTTCTTGTATTTTCTGCTAGATGTGTAAAGGCAGGGATTGGTAGTTGAGAGACCTGTCTGTCCCAATATGTGCATCATTACCTTTCCTCTTTGAAGGTCAACACTGACATTCAAAGAGGAGCTGCTGCAGAGCTTTCCACAGTGGCTGTGACAGGTAGGGTGAGTAGAGGAGAGCTTCTCTCAGGTTTCCTACCAGTACTGTCTAAGACACCATAGGATTGTTCTCAGCAAAGGTGTTTCTATTAATTAGAATATTTCTAAGCTGCGTTTGAGGGCAGGAGCCTTCACAAGGTAGTGTACAGCAATAAAATTTATATAATAACTGATACAAAAATAAAAGCAGACATTAATAACAATAACAAGCACCAGCAACTGTCTTACAGTTGTGAGATGAGAACTATGAAACATTCCTGTACATTCTTGTATAAATAAATGATTAGTTCAGAAGCCATCCATTAACAAGTCTTCTAGCTGTAGCTAAGCAGAGGTGTTTTGTTTTTGTTTTACCTTTGTCTTTAAAAAAAACAAAACTTGAGGCTAGAGGAGCTAACCTTGACTGATGAATCTGTTTTGTTTGCCAATTTCTGGAAAGTTACTGGTCATTTGGAATACCTTGTATTTCTGCAGTACAAGTCCACAGTTCTGTAAAAATTACACACACCTAAGAATATATATAATTAACACTGTTTGCTGGATTCTCTGGCTCCTGTGGAAAGCAGAGTTGTTGAAAAGGCTGCACCTTGTAAACATGATCTGCCCTCAACCTCTAGTTTCTTCCTGCTCATAAACAGCAGTTCCCAAATGCACTTTCCACTGGCAAGGACTTTAAAAAAAAAAATCAGAAAAGGGGTCCCTTTCTTTCTGCAGGGCCTACAGCTGACTTAAGTTCAGTACAATGTCATGGAGAGTCCTTATCCCCAGACTACTTCAGATGTGCTTGGCTTCTTCTGTTGCCTGGACAAGACCATGTCTCTGTGTGAGCCATCACAGATTTTTGGATAGCTACCAAGGCCAACTAAAGCTGAGGAACCTTGGATATACATTGACGTTTAATCCAGTAAGACATGTGCTCTTGGTTAGTTTAAAGAAAGATCAGGTAATAGAGATTCATTTTGTGCTGGATGGGGTATAACTCTTTCTGAAGACTCAGGCTCACAGTTTGAGTGTACTCTTGTACTCTTGATTTGAAACTGGGTGCTCAAGAATGTATTTGCACAGCTGAATTTAGTGCACTGGAGCTGGTTATAGGGCATACATTGACAGTCTTGTTACAACAGCTTCACTAGTTATTGTTTTAGGTAGAATGCAGCATGCTGGTTATGAGCTGTAAAGCTATATGGTTTGGGATCAGGTTACCTGAAAAGTTGCCTTCTCATGTATGAGACTACTCAGATCTTTGGGAGTGGCTCTTCTTTTGAGACTTTCACCTTCAGAGGCACATTTGACAATGGCATGGAAGAGGACTTTCTCAGTAGCCACTTTCTGCTGAGGGAAACTTGCTCTTTCCACCAGCAGGTGAAGCTCTTTTCATTCAAGCAGGCCTTTGGCATGTAAGTAGGTCTGTTGTGTTGGATGTGGTTTTTCTGTATTTGTGTACTTAATCAAGTTTTCCTTATTTGAAAAGTGGGGTACAAATCAAAGTAAGTTCCTTGATGCTGAGCTCCAGTGTTAACTCTTCGGTGTTCTCTCATATGGATTTAATATTTTGTCACCAGCCAAAGACAACATACTTCCATTACAGCCCAGTTCATCACCTGTCTTTAAAAAACTGTTGTTTTTATTAAAAGAACAGATAAGACATGGTTCTTCTGAAAAGTCATACAACTGAGAAGAAAGAAATGCTGTGTCTCCAATTTTGCACGGGGAGGGATGTCCATAAATGACATTACTGTGGTCTCAGTAGTATGTAGCAATCTAGAATCCCTTGATTAACTGGAGCACATTTCCGTTCTTTAAGCATGATTTCTTGTATGTTGCTGATACTCTGAAGAAGCCAACACTTTTGACATTTATCTATTCTCCCCCCGCCCCACAACCATTTCAATCAAAAAGAGCCGTCCTCAAATTTGTTCTCTCCAAATGTCTTAGACTAAAACTTCCATCACCCCCAACCAGTATGGACATAGGTGCAACAAATTTGAAGAGTACTTTTACTGAAATTAGGGAAACATACTATTTGCTTTGAATTCTGACAGCTAATAGCAAAACGCTGCCAGTTTGTCTGTTCAGCACTTAAGATAAAGAGCAAGTTCCAAGAACAAATAATCCTTTTGTTTCTTGGTCTGAATGTTATCTGTGATGTTTGCAGAATGGCTTAGTTGGATAATGTTGGTTCTTTTGAACACATAAGATGTTCTGCTAAAATCTAGAACTCGGTCAAATTCTCACATATCTTTTTGGCACTCAGATATTTTTTTTTGCACTATTGTGTGGTCTTCAGGACACTAACACTGATTTTTGCAATGCTGAGTACATTAAGAAGCAAGGTGGATTTGATTTAAATCACCAGTCAGGACAACTAGATTTAAATCATGATTTTCTATGTAATTTGCATGCATGCATGCCTTTCCAAACTGGGCTTCTCTTATGGCCTGCTGCCATTATAGGTTTTCTCCTCCAGGGAAAGAATAATATGATAAACCTCAGGCTATACCCAAAAAGTTGTGACTTGTGGAGTATTCTGCTCAAAAGGTTTTACTTTCATTCTTACTACTTGCCCCTCCCTCTGTACACTTATATATTCCACTCCCAATGATCATCTTCTGTTCTTTCAATTTTTTGAAACTTGGCACTTAAGAGGTAAGGGGTTTATTCTGTGTACATAGATTTACAAAGGAACAATGGAATTAAGGTCTTTAATAATTTTTATTCTGTATAATTTTTAATGTATTTGTTGTGAAGAAGAAGTGCATGATCTCTGCAAACAGGAATTCAGTTTTGAGAACTGTAAAACAAAGCTTTAGATTTGAAAAATTGCCCAATAATCTTACAGAAACCTCTGGAAGAGCATGACATTGTGAATGGATTAATGGAATTCATTTATTTAAAAATTTAAACATTGCATGAATATACAGCTTCATGCTGCATAATTAAAAACTAATCCTTATTTCATCATGAATAACCTTAATAGTCTCATTTAAATTAAAAATCTGGGTTTTTTAATTTTAAATCATTGATTTTTATCCCTATTAAAAAGAAATATTTACCTAGTAGGAAGGATAGATAAAAGTTTCCTCATTGTTACTGTTCTCCCAATAATCAATATGGTACTCCAGTTTGAGACATTGAGATTTCTTAAAATCACTTAAAAATGCACAATAAAATTACTGTGTTACATTTTCTACCCTGAACAGGTTTGCTGCATGTCAGGTCCCTGTCAACCATTAGTTTGGAAAAGTAGATTTTCAAGGTCTGCTGGTACATGCATTGTCTTAAAATCTTTTGAGATGGCGTGCATGATCCCTTATCAGTGGCTCTCCTCACTGTACAGAATACTTTCTCATGTTCTGCCTTTTTTGTAGAATAGCTGCATGAATTAAATTAATTTGTGCGCAACAAAGCTGACTTGGTGCCTCTTTGGCTTAGCAAGGACTTCCTTGTTTCTGGCCCATGTTGCCAACTTCTTTGCCTTGTGAGATTTAGTTTCTCTTCTGAGTTCCAAGAAGCAAGCATTGGTGTTCCATGAAAGGTCTCTTCCAGAAGCCAAGCATCTGTCCACAAAAGCTTTCCATTTTGTCATGGGGCTGTGTTGGGAGCAGCACTGTGTTCTTTCCTTCTTATATTTATATCCCACCGTTTTTTGCTTTCACAGAACTCAAGGCAGCTTACATAATTCTCCTTTCAATCTTATCCTCAGCCACAACATAGTGAGGTAGGTTAGACTGGGAGTTTGTGACTGGCCCAAAGTCACCCAGCGAGTTCCATGGCTGTGAGTGGGGACTAGTATCTGAATCTCTTGGGACTAGTCCCACTCCAACACACTTACCCTACTATACCACACTGGCTTACTAAGAAAGCTTGCAAAACAACTATATTGACAAGATAATGTAGAATACTATTGCAATAATAAAATTATAACAAAGTTGTCAAGCACGTAGCTACCCTTTACTCTCAAATTGGATTTTGTTAAATGTATATGTTGGTTGTATTAATAAATTGGGGATTGTGGTAGGGAAGTGGATTTTGAACATAGTCTCTTCTTGACTTGGTGGCAATAGCTAATGCCTTTTGGAATAAGTTGGCTCAGGTTCAAGATATCCTATTATGCTTGTATAGCTTCTATTCTGATTAGTAAAATTACAGTGGTCAGCATTCTGGCATCCCACTCAACATATAAATCAACAATAACAGCTCATTTTCTAGCCCCTGAAGCATTACACTGAAAAAGCCATTAAGTCACTTTTCTCGTATTTTCTCCAGCTAAGAAGAAGAACAAGAAGGGGAAGACCCTGACTCTGACGGACTTTCTGGCAGAGGATGGTGGAACCTTCGTTCCGAAACCAGTCAGCTGGGCAGATGAGACAGATGACCTGGAAGGAGATGGTAAGATGGAAACTTTTTTCAACAGTATAATAGCACCTTGCTTCTACTGAACCCATTTTTATTTCCAGCAAGAAAGTGCTTAATGTTTAAGTTTGGAAAAAACTAGCTGTTACTTTTCTGGGCCCCTCTTTGGGTTGTTGATAGCAGACTTAAAATAATCAGTTCCACCATGGTAGCCAGCCAAAATTTATGCCCAAAGGCCTTTCTTCTGTCTTCTCTCTGATGTCATGATGAACTTTGGTAGCATCTAGAGCTCTTCTAAAGGCAGTGCAACTGCAGAGTCATAGTCCCGCCTTCCTCTCCAGTACTGATCGTTTGAATCTAACATAGTAAGCATAACTACCCAGCCCCCATGTGCAGTTAGGTATACACTAATGGTTGGTTTGCACTTCTCAGAGACAGTTTCTTGGATGTTTAACTGAGAAATTGCAAGAATGAGCAGAATCCTTGTACTATGCAGTCATTTTCAGTTAATGAATGAGGAGCACCCCATTGCTGGGTTGTTTGTTGATGTGTGAAGCCAGAAGCTTCCAACTTGCTCATGGGTTAAACAACCCAAAGCTAACTCAAGAATTGCTTTTGGTTTCTTATTGGATTTAATCCATAAGCATCCCAGAGTTTCCCAAAATGGAAACATCAGGGTTGCATGCCCACTTATCCACACAGTTCATAAGTTAAATAATCCAGGAATTGCTGCTGTAACATGAGAAGCAGTTCTAATCAGGTTAACTGCTTTGGAAGCAAGGGATCTCTCTGAGGACACACCCAACAATTCAGCATTCCCAAACTACACTAACAAGGATTAGTTATTCCTGAGTAGAACAGTGTGGGGGGTTTTCCTGCAGTGGGAAATAGATGTCTGTCCATGCTCTTGGTAATAGAATTAAAAATATTAGCAATTTACTACAACAAACTCAGTATATGATTTATTGTGTTAAGTCATCTTCCTCGATGGTGTTTTTTTTTCCTTTACAAGAGCATGCTTTTTTATTCAGTATGTTAGATCAGAACAGTCATGAATGACAAGTCACCATAGTGACTGAATTAAATGTTATTAATTAGTCTCCAGGAAGTTTTGTAAATTTTCCCTTAAAAAACAAAACAGTGCTTGCTAGTATTTCACCTATTGAGTTGGTAAAGTAGGTTTCCAGACCAGCCTCTTCCACTGAATTACCAATCCTTTCACCCTACCCTTGCAGTCCTTAGACTGACTGACTAAAAAAGAGCTAGATGTGCTTTAAAAAAAACCTGCTCTCCTGGCTTCACACATCTTCCATGTATGATCCATTTTCCCAGGTTTGCTTTTTGCAAATCCCTCCACTGCAGATGAGTTGCTGGTTCTGTTTTTGGTTGCCTCTCTCTACCCTAGCCCTCTCCCCCACCACCGGCCAGGGCAGATCTAAAAAGCAAGAAAAAGTGTTGCTGTAGGGAAGGACAGAAAATCTGTAGTTGATATCTGTGGAAGAAAATATTGTTTTATTAAGCTTATGTCCTAGTATTGAAACCAGATGCCTCTTCAACTGTGCCCAGGCACAAATTAAGCCTAATTTAGGTATGCATATAAACAACAGAGCCACCTAAGGCCAAAGGAGTTGATGAGTTATGGGGGAATTTTAAATCTTTTTTCGCAGGAGTTATTTATTTATTTTATTTATTTATTAAAACATTTTTATGCCGCCCCATTCGCCGAAGCCTCAGGGCAGCTTACAACAATAAAATAAATTAAAAATGTAAACATTAGCATAAAATACAAACATACAATATAAAATAAGCTGCCCTGGCCAGATAAAATTCAATAATATTAACATTTAAAATGCCGCTTAAATAAAAAGGTCTTCACCTGGCGCTGAAAAACAAAAAGCCCTCCTCCGAGTACCCACCCTCCTAATTTCTTTCACGGAGGGTTCCCGGAGAAGGGCCTCTCCCGCCGATCTCAGGGGGCAGCTGGGCATATATGGACATAAGCGCTCCTTCAGTTAGGAAGAATTAGGACTGATTTTTTTGGAGCAGGATACTATTCTCTTAATTTTGTATAGGATATCTGAAAGGGATTTGAGGCACTATTTAATTTTTGAAAAGGGAAGGTAATTTAGGGGTGGAAAGAGACCTTGAAGTCTATTTTATAAGCCCTTCTGTGCTGTGGGAGGGAGTGTGCAGGAAGGGAGAAGATAGGGTGGGAAAGCTGCATTATTCATTGGAAAGAGGGACTTTTCCTGTATTCAGACACACTTTTTCTACATTCCTGTTGGCTAATAGAAATGGTCATTTGCTGCCAAGTCTAGTTTCAAGTCTAACTTTTAAAAATTTAATCCCTCTACCTTGTGCCTGTGCAATCACTTTAGGACAGCATTGCATTTAAGCACTCACTTGGATCTGTTGGCAACAGGCCAGTGAGAAGGCTGGTGGAGGAGGGATGATTCAGGAGATTTGAACCCTCTTCTGCATCTGGCAGAGAAAATAATTTGTCTGTGAGAGGAGAGAAACATTGACATGTAATGGTTGCTGCAGAAGGAATAGGGTTTTCTGTTCCTTCTTTGTCAACCTCCTGCAGGCTGCAAAAAAGAGCTTTAGAGGATGGTAACTTACGTGGGTTTATTTTTCTTGGAATCATGCAGAAATCTTGCTTGGCTTCACTCACATAGACATACTTTTGAAGTGACTCCTCTGGTTTGGGGCAGTATGCTTAGTCTTGTGGACTTGGAAAACATTGGAAAAGTTCTGCCACAGTATACATCACTCCTACCTAGTGATGGATCACTCCAGATGCCTCCATGGAATCATAACAGGACCACCAACCCCTTTTCTTCCCAAAGTGTTTGAAGGTCCCCCATAGTCCTTAGCTACACTACGCAGTTGTCATCACAAGTGTTCATAATAAAAGGTTGTCCTTATGATAGCTCATGTTTTTAAAATTAAATTTAATTCAGGTCATTGAGGCCATTCGTTGGTTTTTGAGCCATTCTTCCTGAAAGGATAGTCTAGAGCCAACTTTGGACTTTCATTGTTTTGCAGTGTTCTGCTTTGTGAGCAAAGGATGTTTGAAAGAAAATTGCTTCTAATGTGGCATAACACTTTAATACGTCCCAGTTTACATGCAAAAATATCACATATTGGACAGTCAGTTTACCTGGGAGCTGCCCTTGGCAGGTGACCCTTCAATGCCTATAAATCTACCATAATTGTTTTATTGTATTCTATGTATGTTTTTATGCTGTTTTAGCATTTGTAAGCCACCCAAAGAACCTTTGGGTTATGGGGTGCCATATAAATGCAAATAAATAAACATACTTCTCACAAGTCACACATAAGCTGAATAATATCAGTTGTTGGTTCTAAATAGTGTACGGTTAGCTAATGCGCAAAATGTTCCTTCTAGTTTCGACCACCTGGCATAGCAATGATGACGATGTGTACCGAGCCCCTCCAATTGATCGTTCCATCCTGCCTACTGCACCTCGGGCAGCTCGGGAGCCCAATATTGACAGAAGCCGTCTCCCAAAGTCACCCCCTTACACTGCCTTTCTGGGAAACTTACCCTATGATGTAACGGAAGAGTCCATCAAGGACTTCTTCAGAGGACTTAATGTGAGTATTTAATGTGTAGCTTCAGTTTTTCTTCATGTAAGATGTTCATCTTTGTTAGTACCACATACAGCTAAGTGGAAAGGACTGAGTGGAATCCTGAAAATTGCTGGTGTTTTTGAGGAAATAAAACATCCATGTGACCTCCAGAGTAGCAGCATTGTCTTAAGTGGGGTAAAAAAGTCATGCCAAAGAAATTGCCCATATATCAGCTCTGGAGAAGGTGTTTCTGTTAGAAAACCTTTAAAAGGTTTCCATTGTTTGCAGAATTTCCAATCCTCTTCTGTGTTTTGTGTTTTTGAGTATTTTAACACATAGGAGCTTTTTATAAAATGATAAAAATGATCTGGACTCTTGCTTCTAGCTTTTCAAAATCCAGTAAGTACAAACAGTGTCATCTCTGCTGTGTAACTCTCTGAATAATAAGTTTCTACTCTTTGTTAGACAAAGGTATTAAAGGAAGAAGTCACTCTTATCATTAAACTTCATACAGTTTCCTGAGTAATCAATATATCAGGGTTCTTGTCCCCAGCCTTCTCCTAAAATTGGAGATGCACTCTGGCACCTGAGTGTGTAAGAGTAAAAATTACCTGCCTTCTGAGGAGCACAAGCCATGACCAAGTCATTGTTCGAAACATGCCACCTCCTAACATCAAGAAATGGTTGTATGTGTGCATTAGGAGTGAGTGATCCATTCATACTCTTGGTAAAATGATCCATTCTTGTCAGAAATGGATTGGAAAGATGCAGTGCAAGGCCAGAACTGTGAATTGTGAAGAAATGAAATAGACTTTTCTGCAGGCAGGTCCTCTGAACTTGCACAAACTGTTATTTTCTTAACATACTAGCCATTCCCTTGTGACACATAGTTTGGGAATTGCAGCTGTAGTCACTCAGCATGCTAGAACATTGATCAGAAATCCCAGAGGACAAATCTCTTGTTTTGAAATGCTACACATAGTTCTGAACTCAAATCAGATGGATGTGATGAAGTTCACATAACAATTATGCTACAGTGTTACAATGTTCAGATACTAAAGAAAACGCTTCCTTAACTGCTTAGCTATTAATCAAAATGCTGCTAGTGATTAACCAAACTAAAATATACATTTGGTGCAGCATGGAATTCCACTGTCATAGTACTGTAAATGTAAAGTATAAATACATATTTATTAGTGGCAGCTGATCTTTTAAACCTGCCTAGGGAGCCTTATGACTATTGGGGAAGGCTAAAAATCAAATAAAGAAATAAACCATTTTAGATCTGTCTGTCCATGCCTTGTCCAGAATTTGCTTGTCCAGTCTTAAAACTGCAAAAGATGCAGATAAACAGATAATCCTTCATACTCGTCATATATAAGAACATAGGAAAAGCCATGTTGGATATCAGACGAAAGGTTCATCTAGTCATGCACTCTGTACACACAGGATCGCTCAAGCAGGATGGGTACAGGACCTCCACCTGTTCAAGCTCCTCAGCAACTGGTTATGCAGTCATACCACCTCTGCTAAAGGAGGTAGCATACAGCCAGTAAGACCTAGTAGCCACTCACCTTCTCCCTCATGAATCTGTCCAATCCCCTTTTACAGCTATCCAGACTTCCTATGGCTGCGAATTCTGTAGTTTGCAGTGTGTATGCTGTGTGAAGACGTACTTTTATCAGTCCTAAACCTCCCACCAATCACTTACATTGAACCTTTGTTTAATGTTATGGGAGTGGGAGAAAAATGTCTCCCTCCCTAGTTTCTTCACACCATGCATTAAGTACCTACAGCAGTACTTTCCTCGCCTTTTTTCCTAAGCTGACCAGTCCCACTTGTTGTAGCCATTTTTATAGGGAAGCCGCTGTGGGCGAACAGATCGTATTTGTTGCCACCCTCTGTACTTTTTCCAACATAATGTCCTTTTTCAGATAAGGTGACCAGAATGGAACAATGTTCCAAGTGCAGTCGCACCGAAGATTTGTATAAGGGAAGTAAGATTTTGGCAGTTCTATTTTCTATTCCATTCTTAATTATAGACAGCATGGAGTTTGCCTTTTTCACAACAACTGCATACTGAGCCAACATTTTTATCAAGTTGTCCATTACTACCCCAAGACTGACTCCTCTTTGCAGTCACCTGCTAACTCAGATCCCATCAAGTTGGGATTATTTTGCCCCAACATTACTTGACACTTCCTTATATTGTGCATTACTTTACACTTTCTTATATTGAACTAAATTTGTAATTTTGATACCCATTTACTCAGCTTGGAAAGTTCCCTTTGGAGCTCCTCACAATTTCTTTTGTTTTTAATCACCCTAACAAGTTTAGTGTCATCAGCAAACTTGGCCACTTCACTACTTACTCCTAACTTCAAATAATTTATGAAAAAAAGCGTTAGTCCTAATAAAGAACCCTGTGGGACTCCAGTAGTTACATCTCTCAGTTGGGAGAGATTGCCATTTATTCCCACCTCCTGTTCTTTAACCATTTAGTGATCCCATTTTATTTCATGACTGTTTACTTTGCTCAAGAGTCTTTGGTGAGGGATTTGTCAAAAGCCTTTTGGAAGTCCAGATAAACAATGTCTACTGCATGCTTATTGACATTCTCAACTCCAGGAGACTCCTTGCAGAAGCCATGCTTGCAGAAGCCATGCTTATTTTTTTTCAGCAGGACTTGCCCCTCTATGTGCTTACCGATCCTATCTTTAATAATTCTCTCAAGCTGTTTACCCAGAACAGATGTTAAGCTAATTGGCCTGTAATTTCCTGAATCCCTGCTGGATCTCTTTTTAAAAATTGATGTTACATTGACCATTCTCCAATTCTATGGTACAAGGGCTGATTTTAGGGACATATTAAATATTTTAGTAAAACTGTCAGCGGTTTCATGATTGAGTTCTTTGAGGTGGATGGTTCTAGGATGGATACCATCTGGACTGAGTAACTTGCTGACTTTCGTTTTGTCAATGAGATTGAGAATTTCATCTTTGCCACTACTGTCTGCCTGAATTCCACAGACTCCCTTCCAGAATACATAAACTCAGGGACAGGTATCTCCTCTTCATCCTCTGCTGTGAAGATGGATGAAAATTTATTCAGCTTCTCTGCAGTTGTGTCCCTCCCACTCCTGTGCACCTTCAATTTCACTATTGTCCAATGGCCCAACTGATCCCTTAGCTGTTTTCTTTCTTTCGATATATGCAAAGAATTCTTTATTGTTATCCTTGATGTTACTAGTGGTGAACTCCTCAAACTGTTTCCTTGCTTTTGGTCTGCTTGTATTTCCCTTGTGTAAACTTGTCCCTTCTGTTCTCTTTAATTTGGGCAATATTTCCATTTTTTGAAGAAAGCTTTCTTCTTCCTAATAACTTCCTTGACGCTATGCATTAAGCATGCTGGTGATTTCGTGGACTTTTTGTTACCTTTTCTCACTTGGGGTATGCATATTATCTCTGCCCCTACTGTAGTGTTTTTGAGTAATCTTCAAGCACTTTGAAGCAATTTAGACATCTTGATTGCCCTCTTTAGCTTCTTCTTTACTACTTCCCTCATTTTGGAGATGTTTCCTCTTTTGAAGTCAAACGCAATTGCGTTCAATCTCTTTGAAAGTCTTCTACCTAACTGTATATTGAGTCTGGTTCCATCGTGGTCAGTGTTAGCTAATAGCTCAACAACATTTACATCCTATGTACTATATCCTGGCCAACACTACATGATTGCCTCCCCTCTGGTTGGTTCCACAACCAACTGCGCTAGGGCACAACCACTTAGGACATTGAGAAATTTAATCCTCTGTTAGAACTGGAACAAACATTTATCCAGTCAATGGGTGGGTAGTTGAAGTCCCCCATTATTACAGTATTGCCTTTGTTGGAAACCTCCCTGATTTCGTTTCCTAACATCACCCTGAACATTCTATATATCAGGGAGATTATAGGACTTTTTTCCTGTCTAAACATGCATAGAATTTTGCCCTATATGCTGTTCAGGTTTCATAGAAATTAAGTTACCATATACCCAACAGGTTTCAAATGTCTCATTTTTATTACTGAGTTTTTTTTAAAGCAACCTCTGGAAGTACTTATTATTAAATTCATTTATATATTGCCCAGTAGCTAAGGCTCTCTGGGCAGTTAACAAAATTTGAAATTACACAAATGTTTAAAAAGACACACACAGAACAATTCAATTAAAAGAACAAACCCATAATTGCAATAACTATTATTCAGCACAGAAGCAGTACAAAATTAAAAATGGGATATATAAAAACAAAGTTTAAAAGTTAGATGGTTAAAATGCTAGGAAAATTAATAGGTTTTCATCTGGCACTGAAAAGGTTACAGAGTATTTATTCTCTTGAAGCAACAAGTATGACAGCAAAAACACCCTGTAGCAGATTTCTTCTTGAAGAGTTGCTTGGCATATGCCCCATCCAGGTAGATGAAGCAGGAGAGGGCCTTGTTCATAAACTGCAGGAATGAAAGTATGAATAGGCTTATGTGAGTATGTGTACATTCTGAAGCTGTTGGCACATTGATAAACCTTTTTTGAATGGACCTGGAAACAGAACAGCCCAATAGGGACTTCATTTCCTTACTGGGAAGATTATCTTTTGATGCCTTCCCTGTAGCCAAAGTGAGAAGACTTCATATGACCAGCATAGGTCAACTGCAAGCTTGTTGGAATAGAAGAAATAACATGAGGAAATTAGTACTGTTAGGCTCACTGTTTTCCCAAGGATGCAAGATTGCATAATGTGCAAATGTTTAAATTCTGGATAATCAGTGCATCCATTGCTTTTGCATTCCCAGCAGGCATTTGAGCTGTGTGGGTCTACTTAAGAACAGAAAATTGTCCATCAGAGGTGAAAGCAGCAAAAAAATAAGGAAAGCCCCCTTCCTTTTGTAGTAGAACTAAAGGTGTTGGTTAATTCTACAGCAAAACATGTTAAATGAATCACTCCTAAGTAGCCTTCCTGGTTGACAGTTTTTCCTGATGGACAATTTAAGCAGAATGTTAACTGAGAACTGCAATAGTTTCAGGTGGAGTTCAGTTGCCTATTTATCAAACAATTGTAGCAGTATTGCAGGGCTCACTGGATTTCTAGGCCTGGTGAGGAGAAACTCATGGGAAATTATTCCTGAACAGCTCCAAAAGAAAGGGCATTAGGTTGGAAAGTCAGATGAGTATACAGCTTGATGTTGTTGGGTCTGTTACCAGTGTAACTGCATGCTCTGCTGATCACAGCAGATTGTTCCTGGTGGTTGAAATGTCATTGCTTGCCTTTTGTGTCTTTTTATAGCTCGTTTTTATTAATGCCTTAGGTCTGCCTGTTAGGGGTTGCTGCATTACATTATGATGGCAGGGGTGGATAGATGTGCATAGTATGTGAGGGACTTGTACAGCACACCATAATAACTTCTAAGCTCTTTCCAAATCTTTGTGTTGCATAAAGTGATAGTCTCCAACAGACAGCTCAGTGACTGCTGCTTTCCAAAGTTTAGAATTATACACAAAAAGTACTATGGCTTTTCCCTTCATGTTCAGCAATCCCGTGCTCCTTCAATGCTTAGAAAAGAAAAGGTGGGCATACAACTTTTCAAAGCACTGATTTTAAAGGCACCACCAGGATTTCTGTACATTAGGATTAGTCATGCTGTGTTGGTAAGTTAGCAGTTTTGAGGAAGCTTACTTTATCCTGTCATTCTTTAAACCATTACTTAGAATATGTGCTTTTGACATCCTTTAAGTAGGCTGTTGAACTTAAAATCAGGGTGGTTTAGGCAGCAGTGTTGCACAGATAAAGCATGAAATAAGCCTCATTGAATTTAGGGGAATTGACTTCTGAATAGACGTGCATAGGAGTGAGCTATAAAGTATTTTCCTCGGTGTTTTACTGTGTGCTTATAAATGAAGCAGATACTGTAAGTAATGATCCAAGCACAAGATGATAGTGATTGCAAAATTTTTGTTTTGGTATATGATGTAAAGACTAAACATTCAGCACCTATATCAAGTATTACCTTTCTCCTTCTAAGGGACTTAATCTACCAGCTGACAATATTCTGTGACTGTATTTTATTTTGCACTTGGCTGTTAACTGCCTTGAGCACCATCTAAGCACCATCCTGATATCTAACCCCTTTGGTTGAATAGCTGTATGGAAGTCTTGTAAATAACTCAGATTCTGTGATGAATTTTCTTTTCAACTATAGCATGAAATTTGGCATCTGATGGCTACTATTGTATTTGTCCTTTAAGAAGATGGTTGTTTAAAAAAACTTTTCTCCTCTCATTCAATTACAGATAAGTGCTGTTCGTTTGCCACGAGAGCCTAGTAATCCAGACAGGTTAAAAGGATTTGGATATGCTGAATTTGAGGACCTAGAGTCCTTGCTCCATGCATTGAGCCTCAATGAAGAGGTGAGTTGAAACCTGGCAAGAAATGTCATTGTTTTGTACCACCTGTTGTGCCTTAACTTCCTAAGCTTCTGAGGCTTAATCAAAGAGACAAAACTGAAAATGTCAATTAGTACATGGGTGGGTAATGTCCAAATAATGTTGGATTGCAGTTTCTATTAGCCCCAACTTGCATTGCCAATGGTTAGGTTTGATGGTAGTTGCAGACCAACAGCTTTTGGAGCGGCTACACTTGGAAGTTGTGTGATTTTGGAAAGAAATGACTTCATTTGGGTGAAAAGACTCATACAGAGCAGTGCCCTATAACAAGATCCTCACTGTAATGTAAAAATTTACAGTCATTTGCTAATGTAAATGGAAGATGAAGGCAAGATATGCAGGCTGCCCAGATTTACTTGCAGACTGCTAGGGATCCACACATGTTTTCAGCAGTCAGCCTATGTTCTTTGTGTCACCTGCCATGTATGGGTGAATACCTGCTCTTTGTTCTAGGATAAATATAACTGATACCACTATGTCACATGTGATGAGTTTCTGTTGAAGCGGTGTGTTTCAGCTAAGCTCCGGGACTTGCTGTGTGTCTTCTGACAGATGGAGATGATGCCCTCCTCAGCGTATTATGCAGTAATATGAAGTACTCCTTAGTGGGAATGACTGCAAGAATGGAAAAGGGATAGTGAGCAGGAACTTTCCATAATAGGTTATTTAGCTTGGTTAGGCAATGGAAATATAGGTCCCTGTAGATGGTCTGGTGATGAGATAATCAAAAGCCTAGAAGGCATATATGCATATCACAGAAGCAGTGCAGTTAAATCATGCAACATAATATTGAGTCATAAGGTAATTTTAAAGAGTTGATCCTTTATAGAAATTGCAAGACCTCAGTTGCAACAGTAAAATTGCTAACAATTTGTAATTATTCTCTTGATGTTAGTAAATAATGAACTTAAGGACAGAAACTCTTTCATGCAAATCCCAGCAAGTCAGGATTTCTTCAAAATATACTGAAGATAAACTTAAGTCAGAAGCATGGCTGAAAAAAGTTGTTTTTTAGAAGAATACTTCTGAAGTATTCTGGTCATGTTATTTCTGCAAAATGGCTCTTAGTATACCAAGCTGATTTCTTAATATATTCCTTGGTATACTTTTAAAGCTGACTACATTTTCAGCCTTTAAGGTTTTATTTTAACATTCTAAATTGGCTAATGGGAATTGATTGCAATGCAATAGAAAATAATAGTTATTATTCAGAAATGAAGAAATATGTTCATTGACATTGAAAAGTTCAAGTTAGGTGCCTTTAGAATAATGACCTTTTTTAAAAACCTGCAACCTACCTGTTAACCTCATGTCCAACATGGAGTCTGCTTGACATATTTTCCTCCTATCTTTCCTCTGTCTCTTCATTGAGATGAATGATAGACATGTGGAGGAAATAAGCAAAAGGGTATTTACAGGTGGTGAATTCTACCACAGCTAAGTTACATACATTTAGGTCTGCCTGCCTTAGCATGACGCCCTTGGGATGCTTATGGTCTTGAACTTAGGCTAAAGTTATTCTGACAATCACAGTTTATTGACACCTAATTCTGTAGCTACAACAAAAGTCCTAACAAATTGTTAAGTGCTTTTCTTTGCTTAGTGGAAGAGTGAAGACAAGACTTGTCAGCTAGATAAATGTCCAAGGTCTGATGATTCCTTAGGCAGAATATTGCTAGCCCTATTGAATCACCAAGTGAACTGTAAGCACAGCCTATGCATAAAATACTGTGTTGGCTCTGCTTCGGTAAAACCAGGAAAAGAATGATCTCCTACCTCCATCACTACCATAGCACCCTGTGCCCTCCATAATCTGCTCCAGGGCATTGAGGGAACACATACTTGGGACTACAGGAGTGGAATTGTCAGTGGAGTTTATCAGGGCTAAAGCCATGCCAGCTTCAAATATGATATTAATTGTTGATATTATTGATATTATTCCATATGGTCCTGTGTGATGTTATTCCAATTCTGTGATGGCTTTACATGTGCCTTAAATGTGTTCCTCCCAGTCTTGCCATATGAGAGACAGAGCTAGCCATTGATTTAGAACAGAAATTCAATTTAACATATACCAAGGAACTGGCTCCCCAAATTGAGTTATAATGAAAATGTATGTAATAGCTGTGGTTTGAAATGTGGTTTAATGTGGTGTCTCACATTAAAAATGAATTTGACAAAACCAGGAACATTACAGCTTGACCCTCATTACTGAGAAAATATGATGAACATTATTTTTACATACATTTGATTGCTATGTTGATCCTTAGTTCACTTATGGAAAAAAGGGTCTATAATTGGAGGTAGAACATGAGGGTCAAAATCCATTAGGTGTGTATTAGCAAAATGCATAGCATATTTATGTAGGTCTTTCTTTTAGTGCTGGAATCCAACAGGGTTGTTAACATCCTACCAGTTCTCTTTTGCCCCACTGATAATGTTGTATGAGCAGCCACTACCACTTACACACTGATAATTTAGGCCTTCTGGGGCAACCTGAAACAACCAGAAACACTTGGTTCTGGATGGCAGTAGGTCAACAGAACTTACATAAAGGAGCTACACCAACCTGCCTCCTTTCAGAATGAGCATTTTCACTCACTTTCAGGGCCTCCTCTAGGAAGCAGTGGGTCCCACTTGTATAGTGCAATCAGTAGGACCCAGCACTTGCAAAAGGGAATTGGTGGGGGCATCAGCATCTTCTTGGATATTGCCTATAGTTTAAAAAACAACAACAAACCTATTGCAGCTTTCAAGGTGACCATGGATTCAATGGGCACCTTTTCTTGTTTGCACTTAATGCAAGCTACTATTCCATTGTATGTTCAGTCTCTAGGGAACAGGAGAATACGAGTGGATGTTGCTGATCAAGCTCAGGATAAAGGTAAGAACCATGGCTCAGTAAGCAGAGGTCATCTTGTACCAGTTGAATTTATGCCTCGTGGTTACACAGTGACACAGCCAGATGGACAACTTTCCTCTCACGTGCCAGCAAGCCATTTCAGAATGAAGCTGAAAACAAAGTAGGGACTTGCTTTGGTTGTGTTAGTTTCTGCAGTCCTCATTGCAAGGGTACTAAGCTAATAAGTAACATGGCTGAAATTTCCAGGACAGAAAGATTGATGTGTAAACTAATAAACAAAGGAGAAGTGGAAATGTTTTCATAATATGTGGTTGGGGGTGCTAAGTATTTATATAAGCAAAATATTTCTAAAACTATTTGGAAACTGGATTTCTGAGACTCTCCATGACAGAATCCTTAGAAACTTTCCTGCTTTGGAAATAGAAGGGTATGTTTTTCTCATCCCTGCTTAGAATTGCTTTCTTTGTCAAAATGCCATTGGTGTTTTTGCACTCTACCTTTTAGCCATATCTGATATATCAAATTAGTGCTCAGCCACCAGAGCTGGCTCCCTTTTCACACCAATACTCCACTCTAAACAGCTTTTGTCTGGTGTTGCTTACAAATGCTCTATTTCCATGTACCTTTTGGAAAGAGGGCCACCATTCTGTCCTTTCCATCACAGTCTTTTGAAAGGAAGGAGCACACACTCATTAGCCCAGGAAAAAAATCATTGATGTAAGTGAAGTGTTGATGTTTTATCTATGTTATATTTTATTGTATTTTAACTATGTGAGCCGTCCTGCGGCTTTCATGACAGGACGGCATATAAATACTTTAAATAAATAAAGTGAACCAAGTTGCATGTATCACTGTTGAATACTACATGAGCATGTTTTGATTGAGAGCTGTAGAAAAATGTGAATTTTTCTGTGTGTGCTTCTTAACAGTGGGATCAATTTTTGTTCCTTCTGCAGACAGGGATGATCGCTCCTTTGGAAGAGATCGTGATCGCAACCGGGATTCAGAGAGATTTGAGTCAGACTGGAGGGCTCGTCCTGCCACAGATAGCTTTGATGACTACCCTCCCCGTAGGAGCGAGGATAGTTATGGGGACAGTGAGTTCATGACCAGTTTGTCTGCAATGCCCATGGCCCCAGGCTAAAATGCTACCTTTTCCCACATCTTTTCCTAGTTTACTATGAGCTTCAATGACTAGTCATGCACTAGTCCCCTGCTGCATCTCCTTGAGCCCTGGGCAAGCACATTACAGGATCACAGCTTTAACAAATCTTCTGTTTTTGATGTAAATTACCTTTGTATGCTTCCTGTCCATTAGGGAGCATACCCTTAAGACCATCCGGGGTCCAGTCTGGCCCTTTGGCTTTGAAATAAATGAGATGCCATTCTAATACCTCAGCAGCAGCTTCCTAGTTCTCTTGCAAACCAAAGAGGGATGCTTTTAGAATGTGAGTATTAAATCAGATTCCCTCTGAATTTCAGTGCTCCTGTTGAGGAAGTGCACTTCCTCCATTGTTCTTATTCGAGCAGTGGCTATTCCTGCTCAACAGTTTCAGAGCAAGTTTGCAGTGGTCTTCATTTGGAAAAGCAAATGAGCACAGTTTAAAATACTTTGTTTGATCTGTGGCTGTAAGTAAGTCAAACCGTATTTCAGATTTCACAATTTCTTGTAATAGCTGAGATTGAATCAAGAGTCCCTTGTTTAGACCTCACCTCTTCCATGAATTCCTTAGATCCCTGAGACCATCTGCTTTCTCAGACCTGTGTTCACCTCTCTCACATTTGCAGGATGGAGATGATACTACTCTATCTTACAGGGCACTTTAATAGCATCGATGTACAATGTCCAAAAGGTTAAGGCATGCTGAAAGGCATTCTCTGCTACCTCATAGTTGTGGCCTTTCTTCTTTCCTGGAGAAGTATAGCCATGTTCTAGAGGTAATTCAAGATCTGCTTTCACCAAATTACCTACTGTGAACAATAGAGTACAAATGTAAATGTTTTCCCACAGTGCAAAGTAAAACAGAAATATTTCTTACCCAAATGCTGTTAGTCAGAGTTTCAGCCATGAGCTATATGGTGTCTAAACCCTCTCCCCTCCCCTCTCCCCTCCCAAGTAAAGCATGCTTTTAAGAAAAAGCCACTGCTCTTTTTCTGTCTTGTATGCACTCTACTCTTTTTTCCATCTAGGGTATCGTGACCGTGATCGCTATGATTCAGATCGGTACCGTGATGGTCCCCGAAGAGACATGGACCGTTTTGGGGGCAGAGATCGTTATGATGACCGTAGAGAATATGATAGAGGAGGTACTGTGGATCACAGGTTCTGGGGTTTAAATATAATTTTGCACAGGGTCCTTGTTTTAACAATAGCTTATGTTACAGTAGCCTGTGTTGTCCATGCCCCCTCTTGTTGTTACTGGTGTGAAATTACTGGGGTGCAACCCATTTTGAATTTAGGTCCTTGGAGCCTAGAATGCATTTTTCCCTTGATGCTGAATGTAACTGGAATTAGGATATTAGAGGCAGAGATTAAGTACAGAGAAATTGTTTGCTGAAGAGCTTATTGGATGAGTTTTGCTTTCAGTTATTGCTGTAGATGTTGAAAAGAAATTGTGTCTACCCTCTGTTCAGATACATCCAGCATAGCACATGGTGCTTATTTTTCTTTGTGTGCAACACTCTGTCATGTCACCTGGATAATATTAACTATTATATTGTTTTCGGGTTCATTGATGATGAAGCTAAGCTACTTTTGAGTTCTTTGTAACTAATGTTTTTTTTCTGGTTTTTCTTGGTGGTGATGCATTGTTTTTCCTTGAACTTTGAGTGACTGGTGTTTGCATAATTGTCATACAGCATTTGAGTCCTAGCTAGTTATCAGTTTCTGTGTTCATTAAGCCTTGCTTTATGCAAAGTTTTGAACAGAAATAGTAGTTTTTCCTGAGATACCAATAAAGGGTCATCTACAGAGTCTTGTAAGCTGTATATGAACTCCTCCTAAAACTTTTATCTCGAGCAGCCATCTAGTTTTGTTTGGCTGCTGCTTGGTCAGAGACTTTGTTCCAGGGAGTTGGGAAAAATGTTTTCATCACTATTCCCTTTTGATATATGCCCCAGTGTGTTTCCCCTCTTTGACTTCTCTGAGGGCACCCTGGGGTGCTGCCCTAGAGATATTTTCTGGAAAAGTAGCCATGTTTGTTGCGGCAGAAAGAACAATAGAACTGTATAGAACCTCAAAACAATTTCTTTGATTTCAGAGTACCACTGTGCTTATCTTCAGATATAGCTTTTCTTCTGTTCTGCAAGAGAGCTGCTATAACTTCCCTCCCTTGCAGGTTACGACTCAAGGTCAGGCAGTGGCAGAAGAGCCTTTGGCAGCGGTTACCGTCGGGATGATGATTACAGGGGTGGTGGTGACCGCTATGAGGATCGTTATGATAGGCGGGATGATCGGATGGATAGGTGGAGCAGCTCACGGGATGACTATTCTAGGGATGACAGCCGGCGGGATGAGAGAGGTAGGTCCAGTGGGTTTGCTCAGTAGGAAGAGAATATGATTTGTTGGCTTTGCTGCCACTCTGTGGTGTGTTGCTGCAGATTGTACTTTTGTCTCTTATTTTTTGACATTTCCAAACTCAGGGGAGCCATTTTGAATTTAATATGAGGCCATGGCCAGTGCTTCACTCTCTCTCTTCTTTCCACCCCACTCCTAATCCATTATTGTGCCAGGCACATCAAAACATTTAAAAAGTAGTAGAAGTAATTATTTGGGAAATGGGAAATCCACCTTTGTAGGATGATTGTATAATGATTCATTGACCTGCTCCGCCCCAATCGACTTTTGTTCTCACTCTTACTAGGCTTTGGGATTCCCTGAGCAGTTTAAAAGCCATCTATCATTCAGCCTATGATCCCCTCCAGCTTATCTAGATAAACTAACCTTAAACACATTTTGTAAATCGCCTTGCTGTTAACTTTTCCTAATCAGTTGTAATTGAAATCAATTGCTTAGTTTTTTTTTGTTTTACCCTTTCTGCACTGTCAATTTTCTTCCATTTTTGCTGCCCTTTTTTTCCTAGGCCCCACTCAAAGGCCAAAACTGAATCTGAAACCAAGGAGCACACCCAAGGATGAAGACACATCTGTAGCTCCTGCAACTCAGTCTAGCCGTGCAGCTTCCATCTTTGGGGGAGCCAAGCCTGTGGATACCGCTGCAAGGGAGCGTGAAGTAGAGGAGAGGCTACAGAAAGAGCAAGAGAAGCTGCAGCGCCAGCTGGAAGATGATAAGCCCAGGCTAGAACGAAGGCCTCGTGAACGGTGAGTGGCAGACCAGGGTATGGCATGCAGAATATGCAGCACAGGATGTAGCTTGTCATGTTCTGTGCTAAACTGAACCAAGTGTGATGAAGCCTTAAGCTGCTAATCTTGCCAGAGGTGCCATAGATATGCCTACAGAACTATGAGGTTTTGTGGCGCTCCCTCAAAGTCTGCTCATCCAGTAGAACGTGCATTGTGCCACACTGCTCACTTTGCTTGAAACAGCTATATGTTAAGAGGGGGTAGATGTTAAGAACACAATGACCTGGTTCAGACATAACCCTCATTTAAATAAGACATGGCTCGCTATCATACCCAGGGTTTGTCTGTCAGAACATTGAACAAACCATGGCTTATTCAGTTCCTAGGTTTTTTTCATTCCTCCTTCAGTACTCCTTCCCTGTATCCCACCTGCCTTTACAGCACTTATATTGGCATATAAAGAGGCTCGAAGAGGGGCAGAAGGTTACTGCTCTTGCCTGCTGCCTCTATAGCCTTGCAAAACAACCCAATTATTCTAGGTTTGCTATTTGCACATAGCAATTCATCATTTAAATAATGTACAGTTCACAACCCAACAACAAACCATGGGTTCTCTTTGTGAGTTGTTTGTTGGTTCCAAATTCACACATAACGATAACCCACAATTCAGCAAATAGTGATTAATTAAGCCACAGTTTATTATGATGTGGAAACCAGGTAGTAAGCACATGTGTTAGACCCTGAGAATGCAAAGCTGGTCATGGTCTCTTCTGTACTATATTGCTACCTTATGTCAAGTGGACAAGCTAGCCTAATGCCAAAAAGCTGTAAGGCCAGTCGCATTATTTGCAAGCACCCAGCAGCAAAACTGTTTTATGCAGTACATGTGATCAGTAGCTCTTCCCTGCAAGCCGGGAACAAGCATGCTTTTCCCCAACTTGTGCCCCTCCATATATTTTGGCCTATAAGTCCAGTTGTTTCTTGCCATTGGTTATGCCAGCTAGGGCTAATGGGTGCTGTAAGTGAAAATATCTAGAAGACCACAGGTTCTCCTGCCCTGCTTTTAATCCCTCTGTGCTTTTTTCCACACTGAGCATAACAACCTACCATATTGAGCCACTGCTCAGCTTGATGGCCTGATGCTCTGCCAAGCTTCATTTTCTAAAATCTTTTCACTGAAGGTGTCAGGGACTGAACCTAGCCTTCAAGCATTTAAAGTAAGGGTCATAGCTCTACTGTAAAATGTTTCTCCTTGGACAGTTTAACCCAATGCTGCATTTTCAAAGAGAATGCTTCTGCGGGATTTCCCTTGTCCCTTTTCAAATTAATGACTTTTTCCATTTGTAAACATGCTGGGTGGCTCCTTGTGGTCCCCCCATCTATATGTGGTTCAGCTTAACTGCTGCTTAGTTTCTGTAGTGCTGCTCTATCACATCTTCTGTGATCATCCATTGTGTGGTTAACTCAATACCAAGAGGCTGAAGCCCCAGGCAGATTTGCCCAAGTTTCTGTGGGCTGCAGCATGCCCGACTCTCTTCTATAAAAGGTTTATTTGGACATTTGGCCTCTGTAGGAGCAAAGCTTCTGACGACAACTTCTGAGCAGTTGACTGTGTTGGATGTTACTGGCTTTTTGTGGAGTTCTGCATGCATGATTTCTCCACACATATAGTACAGTAAATTCTGCTTCTCTATACATGCTCTAGACACCCCAGCTGGCGTAGTGAAGATAATCAAGAACGGTCACGGACAGGGAGTGAGTCCTCACAGACCAGCAGTTCAAACCCTTCTGTGGGAACAGGCCCAACAGGAAGAAGTAAGTTGGAATTTGTGGTATCATTTGCTCAGCCCCAGGTTGATTCTGCCTGTTTCTGAAAAACCCTGTTACTTTCCTTGATTAGAGAAAGTCTTACTGCACAGATTTCTTAATCAGCAAAAGTTCAGCTTGGTTACAACTCCAATCTATAAAAACTTCGGAATGTGGGAATTCTTAATACTACATAATAAGCACTCTCCATAACAGAATTGACTTATCAGTTCTAAATAGCTGATTAGCAGCATAAGCAGCTGGTGTTCAGCGTGATCACCTGTTGTACATGAAATTTTGTGGAATGGGTAAGCAGTTGGATTGCAAGTGGCTAATGCTGTCCAACTGTTTTCATTGTGTTGTGTTTATGCCATTCATTTATTGGCAGCATCTGCTTGTGTGTGTGTCCACACAAAACATTTGAGTCATCAATCCTCCACCAAGCAAGTCCAGGAGTGGGGCATATCAGCATGATTGCCACTGTTTTGAAGACACTTCAAGCAGTGGCATCCAGTTTTTCTCAACAAGTGGGCCAGCAGGAAGGGGAGTGTGCCTGCCAACTTGGGTATTGCAGGGTGAAGGCAATCTGGGCATCCTCACCTAACAGAGCCTGAAGCATGTATAGCAGCATTTGCAAATTTGCACATCCAAGGCGCTTTGAGATGAATCTGGGGTGGCAGCTGGGATCACTGTGGAATAACCAAGGCAATTCCTGCCCACCTGTGCAGCTGCAAAAGTGGAAGTAAGGGTGGTCATTCATCATGATTTCCAGAGTTCACTGCCACATCTGCTTTTGTGATCAGATTTGTGAAAAACAGCTCTTTCTTTTTTTAAACTCAGCTTTTGTATGCTACTTAGCTAATTACTTGGCTTGGAATTTTCAGGTGACTCTGCTGGGGGCCTCTACATGCAATGTCAGTAGAGTGGAATGCTTCTTGATCCAGTAACATTCTAGCTTTCAGCTGAATAAGGGTCTAAGGCAGACCTGGGCATTGTACGGCCCGCGGGCCACATCCGGCCTGATGGCGGACCCTGACTGGCTCGCATGAGGTCACTGGCAAATTAAAAGTCAATGCAAATATATATCATCGTAATATAGATGCAAGCAATACAACTGCACTGCTTTTATTTTGAAGGATCTGCTAAATTGAATTGAATTTATTGCTTTTCATGTATGTTAGTGTTAATGTTTTTGTGAATATTCATTAAATAGTGTTGTTCTGTGCTCCACATTTTCATTGTATCATTGTAATGTTTCATTTACTGTTTTTATAGAGAGATATATATTGAGCAGAGCTGTAAGTGTATTGGTCCAGCCCTTAACAACTGTCAAAGTTTCTCATGTGGCCCCGTAGGAAAATTAATTGCCCACCCCTGGTCTAAGGGATAATTTACCTAGACTGGGTTTTGTTGGAGACTGGTCTGTGTTTGGTAAAGGATTTTCTCCTCTTGGAATGCCAAACCAGCCACCAGTGGTCAGTGACCAGAGTGGGGAAAATAATCTGCTATTGTATTCTTTTAAAGCATATTTAACAACCCTGAAACTCTTAACTATACATGATTTGTTGATTTTTAAGAGGATAAGGATCTATAGAGTTGCTTGTGGCATAAGCACAGTGTGGTGCCAGTGTGGTGTAGTGGTTAAGAGCATGGGACTGGGACTCAGATGATCTGGGTTCTAGTCCCTGCTCAGCCATGGAGCCAACTGGGTGACTTTGGACCAGTCACAGACTCTCAGCCCAACCTACCTCGCAGGCTGGTTGTGGGGATAAGATGGAGGAGGAGAATGATGTAAGCTGCCTTGAGCCCTTTGTAAGGAAAAAGGCAGGATATAAACCGATAAATAAATAAGCAAGCTGAGGAAGAGCTCTCTTTAGACTTTGGAATGAAAAATCTTTCTCTTCCTCTCCTCCCCCACTCAGCTGCTTTCTCACCTGCAGGAAACAAATTAGGTTTCAGCTGATGGGAAGACAAGTGGTAGGCTGGTTTTACTTTTTAAAATGACCATTTTATTCCCACTCTCCTACCACTATCTTTTGCTGCCATCAACTTCATAATCCCTATTCCAACCTGTATATTTACTGAAGCTGGCTAGTAGCACTGAGTTAAACTACAAGGTTACATACATAGCTCATATATGGCAGACACTGTTAGGCACAGCATAAACTTCTGTCTTGGCTTCCACCCTTTAGGATGGACAGACAGCTTCCTAGTTGCCATTGCACTAAAATACTGGATTTTCCAACAGTTTCCTGCGGGCTGTTGTCACTTTTGCCCCAGGGAACAACCAAAAAATCTCGCATCCAAATTAAAAGTAAGCAGAACTTCTCCAGACAATGGAATTATGTATCTAATATACTTAATCTATTATTTCTGCATTGTGGATCAAACATCAAATCTGGCGGGTTCTGTAAGTATGTGCTACAAATTTGCTAGGTGATCTCATTGTACTGAAACATGCAAGCTAGCTCAGAAACATTGGATAATTGATCAAGAAAAATGCTTTCGACAATATGGCTTTCAGTAAAAGCCAGCTTTTTGCCTGTGTTGACTCATACTGTGTGCCCTTCTAGCTACACGAAGGAGGGAAAGTGAGAAATCATTGGAAAATGAAAGCATCAGCAAAGAAGATGAAGGTTTATCTCCCACATCTAAGAGTCCCAGGGAAGAGAAGCTTCCTCTGAAAGTGATGCCAGCTCCTCCACCGAAAGAAAACGCCTGGGTGAAACGCAGCAATTCACACCCAGCACGCTCACAGAGCTCCGACTCAGATCAGCATTCCCCTACAAGGTGAGAGTCTCTCCAGGATGGAGTATGCTGTATGTTTTTATTCCATCTTTTAAAAAATCAGTCGCTTTGTCTGATTTGTCGCAGAGAAGGGTGGCATGCTATCCTTAAGACTTGATAGAAGTTTTAAAAATGTAGAGGTTTTTAGTGAGTACAGTTAAGTAATATTTTGAAAAAATGCTAGAACCAGGTGCAGGGTAGACACCAAAATAAGCCTTGATTCAAATGTCTGGAACTTGTGATTTTGAAGTCTGCATATCAAGACACTTCTTTACTGGCTTGCAGATGTTTCTTTCACAGCTTTGTATCTAAACAAAAATATCAACAGTTTTGAAACAAAAATACTGTAGAGCAGGTGCAGAGACCTGTGGCCTTGCATATAATACATCTGGAAGGCCATTGGTTTTCTGCTTCTGCTATACAAAAAGTACTACTCTGTAATCTGGCATCTACAGCCTTTATGTAAATAACACCCATGTTGTACCATCTGGGGCTGTTTAGCTTAGAGAAAATGTGAGTAAAGGGAAACATCATAATGGTGTACAAAATAATGTGTGGATATGGAAATATTTTTCTCCAGCTTGCATAATACAGTGGTTCCCTGGCTCACAAACTTAAATCCATTCCAGGACTCTGGTCATGAGTCAAGTTAAATTTCCCCATAAGGTTCAGCGTAAATAAGGTTAATCCATTCTGTAACTATTTTTTTTAATCAGAAAAATGTAAAGCAAAGTGACAAAGAACAACAAAGATCGCGGCCATCTCTCCGCCCCCCCCCCCCCAGCACGACCGCGATCGTGCCCGTCATCACTGCAGGCGCTCATCATCCCAGCGCGCAGGAGGGGGGGAGATGGGCGCAATTGCGGGTGCACTTGGGGGAGAGATGGGCGCGAACATGGGCACGCTCGGTGGGGGGGAGACGGGCGCGATTGTGCTGGGTGGGGGGATGGCCGAGATAGCGGTTGTGCTCCTGCAGGAAAGACGAGCACAATCACGGGTGCACCCCTGCAGGAAAGATGGGTGCGATCTCGGCCATCTTCCCCCCCCCCCGCCCCCAGCACAGTCATGGCCATCTCCCTACTCTGGGGGTGGGGGGAGATGGCCGCGATTGCAGCCGCCACCCAATGTGGAGTTCACAACCTAAGTCAAAATTTTTATGCAATTTTTGTTCGTGACCCGATTTGGTCATGAACTGAGGCATTTGTGAGCTGAGGTACCACTACCAGAATGCAGTGGAGCCATCCCACTAAGCTGACTGGTGGGTAGTTCTTCACATGGCCTGTGTATAGTTAACTGTGGGATTAACTAACATAAGAGTTATCAATTGTGACCATCACTTGTGATGGGTTTCAACAGGGACTGGGCACAATTTGTAGAGAAGAAAGTTATCATTGTCTGTATGCTGCCTCTAGTATTGGGAACCAGCTGCTTCTCGATACTGGCTACTAGGCAACATGAGTGCTGTGGCATTCATGCCCCACCTGTGAGCTTTCCACAGGCAGCTGGTTGGCAAGTACGTGAATAGAATACTGGGCTAAATTAGGCCTTCAGTCTGACCTAGCAAGTTCCATAGGTGTAACACATGGATTCAGGCTATCTTATGAAGAATGCTCTTAGCAAGTGTTTTGAGCAAGATCATCCTGGTGGTTCTATCGTATCTTTTGAGGCCATTTACACATTTCAAGTGTCTTATGGCAGAGTGGGGTTTTTTTTCGGGGGGGGGGAGATGCTGTTAGTTTTTATTCCTTTGCTCTCCAGGCTAAAGGACTAAAAGAGCTTCTGTAGAAATATTAAACCTCTAATGTAGAACAGAGATAGCTACTGCTTCAATATTCAGCATGTACCTGTTTTAGAAGTGTCAATTCTTTTGTTTCATATATGCTCTGTTATAGTGGCAGCCGGGCTGTGCCATCCCTACCATCAGAAGATGGAGTGCCCCCTAAGAACACCCCAAGGAAAGGTAAAGTTAGCATGTAGAAACTTGCATGTAACAACTTTGGGGAAGAGAGGTAGCCACGACAATGCAGGCTTTCCATTCTGCTATTATTGTGCATGCCATTACCCAAGAAGATCTTATTTTTAATGTGTCGAAAATGTGTTTCTTTTAAGGAGAAGTATGATGGCTTTTTCGGCATCTGAATTTTACAAGGAAAAGCCAATATTTCCTGGATGTTCACGGAGAGTCCATGGAAAGTGAACAGTTCCTAGTGTAACTTATCCCTACAAGTGTCATTCTTGAGTGTTGTTTTCTTGGTTACCAGGAGAGGGCAACAGAATTTTCTTGGGAGTTTAGTTAAGCCCATTTGAGAAACTTCTGTTTGTTTCAGTTCTGGTTTCTGTAACATTCCTCTGTTCAGTCTAGTTCTTGGTCTGTACCTGTTTTAGAATAATTTTCCATCTCACTAGCAGAAGATCCTCTTACATTTGTGTCAGCAATACTTGACTTGTCAGAACAGCTGTGCCAGCCTCAGTATACCCAGAAGCTACTGTTAGCATCTGGGGCTTTCCTCCAACAGCTGCCTCTGGGGAGGTGTTGGAGACAGCAAAGAGGAAGGCCTTTCCAGTGATTCCCCCCTCCAGCTATTGTACAAGCTCCCCATTAAAGCCAGCCTGGCACCAGTGCTACTATTCTTCCAGCACCAGGTTAAGACTGTCCTCTGGTCCAAAGGCATTTAATAGCTCTAGACAGTATATTGGAGTGTTATGCCAGCTGCTTAACTGATCTAGTTATTTCTGTTATTTGTATTTTATGTTGTATTTTTACCATGTGTTCTTGTAAACCAACCAGAGAGCTTTGTATTGGGTGATTATAGCATTTTTAATAAAGATTTTTATTAAGATTTTAAACTAAAAACTAAAAACATCAATCATCAAATACATCGGACGTGCTGGGTCAGCCCCCTACAACATATCTTTTTAACATTCTATAATCATATTCAGATCAATTTATAAAAATTTTAAAAAATCTTTAAATCTAAGCCAAGTCCCGTTTCTCCAGCCAGTCATAAAAAAGGTCCCAAGTTTGATAGAAGTCAGTATCTTCTTTCTCCTTCAGTGATAGAGTCAATCTGTCCATTTCTGCACAGTCCAGAATCTTTTTTAAAATCAGTTCCTCAGTGGGTAATTCCTCACTCTTCCAGTATTGAGCAAGCGCAATCCTCACCGCTTTGATTAAATGTAACATCAAATACATTTCTTGTTTGCTAATATCTTCCGGTATAATGCTTAACAAGAAAATTTCAGGTTTAAAAGCTGAGGGTTTTTGTAGCATTTCCTCAAGCCATTTATGTATTTTAATCCAATACTTTTTCACATATTCACAGGTCCACCACATATGGTAAAAAGTACCCACATTATGTTTACATTTCCAACATCCGTTTGACATATTTGGAAACAGCTAATCGACTTGGTGACAAATACCATCTATAAAACATTTTATATAAGTTTTCTTTATACAAAGTTGCTGAAGTTACCTTAGTATTTCTCTCCTATAGCTTTTGTCACTTTTCTAATTCAATATTATATCCAAAATTTTGTGCCCATGTTATCATAGTTTCCTTAATGGGTGATTATAGCATTAATAATCATAATAAACATATTTGATGGGGAAATGGCATGGTGTAGCCATACTTCTTTGCCTGTGAAAATAGATACTTGTACTTCCATCCTATGCACATTTATTCCGAAATAAGTTGCATTGTTTTCAATAGAACTTATACCAGGGTAAGTGTGTATAGGATTCCAGCTTTCATTTCTTCTCACTTCAGACAAGGACAATATAGGTTGCCGCAAAAAGATTCATTTCTGTCATCATGATGTCCCCAAATCTAGGTGCTGAGCAAGTGACTAATTACAGTTGGAGTTAAAAGTTATAAGGAAGTAATATGAAGAATTATCTATCTATCTATCTATCTATCTATCTATCTATCTATCTATTTATTTATTTATAACACTTTTATGCCATCCCCATCGCAACGAAGCCTCGGGGCGGCTCACAACAGAAACAAAATACAGAAATACATAAATAATAATAATATAACAATAAAAAATTATTTAAAAACCCATGGTGCATCTCAGCTAAAATTTTTAAATCCTATAAATACAAATAATTTAACAATTAAAATAAGTTCTAAATAAAAAGGTCTTAGCCTGGCGCTGAAAAACAAATAACGATGGTGCCAGGCAGACCTCTCTGGGGACCTCTCTCTCTAGACCCACAATTGCGGGAGGGAGCTATAATTTAGAATTTGATAATTTTAAAGACCATTTATTCTTGAAGTAAGCACATCTACAAGCTCTTCCACATTTCTAAAGAAAAAAAGAGGAATCAGCAAACTGAAAGCAAGCATTATAACTGGTGCCCTGCCATAAGTTTTATAGAATTAAAGTTTAATTGCAAGCAGATGGGGCTAATATTTATGTACCTGGGTGAATTGACTTGGGTATTCTATTAGTAACCCTCTTATATATGAATGCAGATGCAGATATTTGCCATTTTCAAAGCTTCAAGCAAGCTGGATTAATGAAAATATTCTCTCTGCGATTTTCAGGAGATGAAAACAGACCTGATGGGGGACAAGAGAGTGGTCCAAAAGGCCGAAATGAGAGCCTTGGCCATGGTCCTGGAGATGGAGGCAGCAGAGACCATTGGCAGGATTCAGAAAGGTATAGCTGAAATCGTATCCCACTTGTTCTGACTCTAATTTTGTTGTTGGGATATGTGTGTTCCCATTAATCTCCATATTTCATAAAGGAGTCTAGCCATCCAGCCCTCAGCCAGAACTTTTGTGCCCAGAAACAGGCAGCTAAGGATATGCGGCATCAGTGAAATTTTGCACACCAGACTGCTAGCACCATCATGCAGTACGACACATTGCTGTCCATAGCAGCACGGACTCTCAGTTGTCCAGATCACTTTTCATAGTGGGTGGCTGTGGATTGTCTGCCACTGTGCCTTGGAACAACAGAAATATGATTTTCATTGACAGAGTTTTTCTTTGCACAAACCTCATGCACTAGCTGTTGTGTTAACATGGCAGTGCTTTTCCTTTTCAGAAAAGAAAGCAAGAAGGAGCATGACTTGAGATCTGCACCTGAGCCAAAGACATTCGAAGAGAACCCTACCCCTGTAAGTACTGGATCTACTGATATTTTAGACTGCTGTCAATCAAATGCAAATAGAATTAGGTGGCAGGTCTCCAGGGTGAAATGAGCTAGAACGTAGTGGGACTCGGTTCCCGTTCATTTGGGCGTCACTCCCATTAGCCACCTAGGGATGCCGTTGGTGGAATAGGTGGCATATAAATATATTAAGTAAGTAATTGGTAATCTAAGTTGGAAATAAAGCCATGCATTGTATTTGGTGATGCCACTGCTGGGACTGTATTGTCTTCAGCCAATGCATTTTTCTTAGTAGCATTTATGGTCCTGGTACCCTTGGAACTGGTTCTCTTGGCTGCTTTTGCCAGAATGGGAGCAGCTGCCTACACCTTCCAGTACCTTCTTGCACCTGAAGAGGACACAGGGTTTGGCAGATAATGAAGCTGTGCTTCTGTGTAGTCTGAAGTGTTGGGTCCTGTATAATCTTACAAGCTAAGTAGGGTCAGGCCTGGTTAGAATCTGGATGGGTGACTTGAGTATATAATTCTAGGGTTGTAATTCCCTCATGGGGCTTTGACTACGGGCAGTTTAGAAATGTAATCACTGGGTTGCAAATTAGACAGTTCAAATTTGTACATGTTTTAACTTTATATTTTAAATTGTAATTTTTTGTTTTATAATTAGTTCTAAGATAATGTGCCTTACTTTAATTGTGATGCTTCTGACACAAAGACAGAAAATTGGATTGCACATGGCTGTAAAACCATGTTGCCTAGAGTCACTGAGGAGGGATGTATCCATTTTTTAAATTCTGAGGTGGAAACAGAGAAAACAAACTCTAGTTACATCTTCCGGTCGAAGACTATGTTCATCCTCAGTGGTAGAGCATCAGCTTGGTAGACGGAAGGTACTTAAAAAGCTCTTGAGTAGCAGAGATGTGGAGGAGCCCTTGAGCCCAGGAAAAGCATTTGAGCCAATGCTCGCTGTAATTCAGCTTCTTGCATTCAAGCTTCTTGAATTCTGGGGGCATAGGTGATACTCTGTTTCTTTGCCACTATTTATTTATATTTATATCCCACCTTTTTCCTTCAAGGAACTTGGGAGGTAGCTTACAATAATCCTCCTCCTCTCAGTGTTATCCTCACAAGAACCCAGTTAGATAGGTTAGGCCGAGAGCTGTGAGCTTCATGGAGAAGACAAGAACCTAGACTTCCTGAATTCCAGTTCAACAGTATCCATTACAGTGGCCCCCAGAAACTTATGGTGTAATTGTTTACTGAGTACTTGTTTCTTTTTTCAAGGGGGCAAATCAGTGCAAGGGTGAGTAGGAAGGAGACAGTACCAGGAGAGCTAGGTGTTGTCTTGCCTAGGTTTTGGATCTGTTCATATGCGAAGAATCTGAGTCATGAAGCCTTTGCATTTGTCTATCCCATAATAGATCTTGCCTCTTAAAGGGTAGGAATCTTATTTTTTTCCCTCATTAGCAGCCCTATGGGTCATCCTTGGAGCTTCATAGCTGGAGATTCAGACCCAGATTTCCCCTGTCCAAGGCCACAGTGTTCTGTCCACTTAGAACACACTAGCTTTTTACCTGTCTGAAGTACTTAAAAAGCAAGAGCTAGTACTTCTCCCACCCCACCTTCTACCTAAGATTTGAAATGAGTTATAGGATCACAGTAGCACATGGTGTCTGCCACCCTATTTGGATAATGGTTGTAGAAGAGCCTTAAGTGCCTAGTGAGGAGAGCTGTTTAACACTTCTTCTTTCCTTTGCAGAAATTTAGCTGTGCTAGCAAGTATGCTGCTTTGTCGGTGGATGGTGATGATGAAGCCGAGGGAGATGAGTATGCTGACTGAATTCTCCAGCCCCTCCATGTCATCTCCTAACCGGTTGCCACCCAGGAACATTCAGAGAGCAAAACCAAACTTTTATTCAGACAAGACAGAAAAATAAAAGCCTACAAGTCAACACACCCTTGGAGAGACCTTTCTTAAACCTTTCTTTAAAAATATGAAAAGTGATACAGTTTCTCTTGCATGCTGCTGCAGCCTTTAAAGTATTGAACTAACTGGAGAAATCCCTGCAAAAAAAAGTGTAGCAGGAGCAGAAATGGCAGGTGTCTTTACGCAAAAACAAAGCAAAAGGAATAGGCCCAGTGTGTGTCTCAAATGTGACTCCTCAGTTTTTGATCACATCCAGAGCCCATGTCTCTCCCTTTAACAAGTTAGTGCTTTAGCAGGCAGGTGCATGTGAGTTTGTGCACTGGGGACTTGGGCAGCTAGGAACTGTCTCTTTCCCTCTTGCCTGCTTAAGTGTCTTCTGGAGTGTAATGCAAAATTAATATTCTTGAATTGCAGCAATGGGGAAGGAGAGCAGTCTTGTCTTAATGGCCAGAGGAAGGCTTCCAAAGTAGAGAGTTGCATCTCTGTGCAACAAGTAACCCCTGAGCTTAGATGCAAGCTTTTCCCTTTAGTTGGAATGCAGTAGGTGCATTGTCCAGCTGTCTTTAATATCCTGCGGACGTGGGGACTTCCCGACAGCACTAAGGCTGAGCAGTGGGGCTTTGTTCCTCTTGCCAGCCTCAGAGCTGATCCAGTGTTGTATCTCCACCATTTTCCAACTTGTGGACTGCTGACGATTGTCTCTTTGTAGAAAGCTACTTTCTACATGGTTCAATTAACATGGGCAGACACTTTCCACAGCAGTGGTTGCTGGCCCTTTGCAATGCTGGGTGGAGACTGCTGTTACATTGAACCACTCAGAGTAACTTTTTATATGTCACAGTCTCCACCATATGAAATTGGCACTTGAAAACTTCCCTGCAGGGAGCTGCAATATATAAAGGAACTGCTGGATTTATGGAAAGCAATAGTTGAGAGAAGTTTCTGGAGACTAGTAAGTTTCCTTGGAGTTTTTTCTATCCCTTCCCCATCTGGCCCCTGTTAATCACTGAGGTTCCACCACAGACATTGTCACAAATTTAAATAGCACCCTTTTTAGTATTGGGCACTGTTTAAAGTTAGCAAGAGTAATTGAAGGTCTGGCTGGGCATCTTTCACTGTTGCATCATGTTACTGCTCAACTTCCATCCTCCAGCTTGGGCAAGTTGGGTGCACAGTATGGCTGGCAAATTTTCTTCAGCTCTTACGTAAAGGGTTGACTTCTAGCCCCCAGATTTTCCTTTAAATATAATGCCTACCAGCACCCCGCACCATTAAAGGCTGTACTCTGGCAGAAATCCCATCCATCTGTTGTCATTAATGGGGAGGGGAAATATAAATCGTAGCACAGTGGAACTCTGAACTAACACAAGATGTTAATAGCCGAGTCTCAAAAGCATGCTTCCATGGAGACCATCTGGCTAGAAGGAGTGGTTAGCTTTATGAAGCGTGCATACACTCACCAAGGAGCTGTCACATTTTGGATTGTTTGGGGAGGAGAACAGTATGGCTTTGCTCTTGAAACAAACCCAGCTGAGGCAGATGGAAGATTTGGTGTGTTGTAAAGCTGCAGTGGTTGGTGTCTTGCTTCAGTAACTTTTAGCCACAGTTTAAGTCCTTTGAAATTGAGAGAGATTGGTATGTCCCATGGGCAGGATGTAAAGGATGGCAGGAGACCCTGCTGAGAGCAGAGATGGATTTGAAATGCAATATTGCTTTGAGTCTATGAAACACTGTGGGGGATGGGACTATATTTGAGGTAAACTGCTAATTTGCATACTGCAGAAGCATTTTCTTCCCTCCTCTTGCATATCTTGCTCGCTCGCTCTCTTTCTCTGTTATCAGGACAGGTTCACAAGTGGATTGAGGTGCATTTTACACATTCTGGAGACATGTAAAATTTGTACAAAATAACTTCTATGAAAATGATTTGTAATCTGTGTGGACTTCCTGGGAGATGTCTTTTATTATGTAAAATTCCTCCTCCCTCCCCCTCCTGTTTTTTTTTCTCCAAATAAAACTAATCTTTAAAATAATGCTTCAATGCCAAGAGGTCCTTTGCAAAAGATATCTGTTCTTTGGCAATCTGTGGACTAGGAAGATTGTCTTAGGATTTAAGTCATGGAAGATTCCCTTCCTTTCATTTGTACAGGTTTCTGGAAATGCTTGCTTCTTTAAAGCAATGCTTTTTAAGCTGTTTGGGAGGTTCCACAATGAGAAGGTGGGTCATGATGGGGAAGCCTTCACAAAAAACAGCTTTCCTGCTATTACTAGGGAGGATTAAGCTGTATTCTAGGTTACATTCATTCAGATGACGACAGTGGCCAGTATCCTGAGTAAAGTCTGTGTACACCCCAGGAGAGATAAGCTGTGTAACCCTCTGCAAAGAAATTGATAAGCAAAGGGTTGCATCTAAGTCTGAAAGCCTCTTGCTTTAAAGCTCCTAACTCCACATAGTGCAAAACTTTATTAGGCTGATGCAAAGATCACAATAAATACGCACGCTTTCAAGATCCTCAGATGTCTTCCTCCCGCTAGAGAATATAAAAAGCAGGTTGGCATAAAATGATCATTTAAAAAATAAAATCCAGCTATTAACTCTTTCCATCTGGGGGGTACCAGGCAGCTTTTTTGATGGGTGGATAAAGAAGCTGGTTTTTTAGAAAGGTACAGTAAGACAGGTGGCTTCCAGCTTCCTTTTCAGATGGTATATTTGAAAAGCTCTACCTTCTGCTCTGATGTGAACTCACTGAAATGTTGGTCACTAAGGAATCGCTCCTGGAACTCCTTTTTGCTATATTGCTGTAAACATTGATTGGGTTCACAGAATACAACAACCCAATGGGTTGTTGGGCCATGTGACCTTGTACTGCTTCCTGCAGGGTTGCTTGTTGGTGGGCAATGAGCCATCCAGACAATCCATAACTTGTTTCTGGGATGATTGTAACCACAATAAGTTGGAGTGTCGTCCAAACCTGGGCTGCTGCCCCATTCACAGGTGCAGGGAAGCAGCAAGCAAAGCAGCTCAGGAAGAGCAGCAAAATCTTATTTATTAACAATATTTGTACCCCATCCTTTATGAGACATCCCAGAATGGCTTACAGCAATAAGTCACAACAAAGTACAATACGGAGCATGACAATGTTAAAAGCTAATTAAAATAAATAATAAAATAATGGGCAAATAAAAAGGTTTTTGCCTGGTGCCGAAAAAAAATCTTGTCATTCTTCCCAAGCTCATGTGGAGTCATCAGGCAGTCCCCCTCCCCCACAACTGATGCCCAAGCAGCATGATAGAATTTTTGCTCATAACTTTTTAAAATATTTTACCCCCTTTTATGTTTGGAGATCACTTTTTATGATCTGTGGTGGAAGCCCTCCCCTCCAAAGTTCCTTAGCAGTACATTGGAGGGACTGTCACTAGTTTGTCACACCCTCTAAGTGCAAAACATTTGCAAATACTTACATTAAATTGTACAAGTGCAAAATTGCATACTTTGGGGAGCCTGAAGCAGGAAGCCTCAGCTGAGCAATGATCTGGGGAGAGTCTGTTAGCTAAGTGTAAAGAGAGCACTAATGATTAACATGTACACAGAGAGGCTGCAAAAGGGTTAATATTTTTATATTGCACTCTCTTAGTTGTCATGGGAAAGCAAAAATGGGAGAGGAAATTGCTTATGAAAGAAGGTGGCAAGTAGAACACCCCTTTCACAGGGGGCATGTTGGATCTGACCTCTGTCTTATAAATTTTCTGTTTTTTCCTGAGATTCTAGATCCTGAGGAACCTGGAAAAGTGTGAACTACCCCATTTACAGGAATGTGGCTTCCTCTTAAAAGGGTTTTTCAGGACATGTTTATGCACCTGTCAGAACTGAAAAGACCTTCAACTAGCTGGAGAATTATATTGTGGATTGTGTTTCGATTGTTTTTAATGGCATTTGTTTCTGTCTTTAAACATCTTGAGCTACACTGGGAGGCTTGGCAGAATGGTGGTCTAGAAATGAACTAAGAGTGCAGTGGTCAAATGGAATTTCAGAGCTCAGTGGAATAAGCAGCAACAGAGCCAAATAAGCAACCTAGGAAGGCCAGAATACTGTGCACATCTCAAGTTTTCTGGTAGGCAAGCTCTAGGATTGAAAATTCTGCAAATTGCTAGCTCATGCCTGCTGAAATTTTGTTTGCAGTGCCAAGGTTATGTTTCCCCAAAATGACTTGAGGTTTTGATCAGATTCCACAAGAGGGAGTCGGTGGGCTAGCATTCTGCCTTGTAATGGTTCCCAGAAGCAGGTTTCTCTAGCTAAACTGCTTTTTGAACAGCAGTAGTAGGCCTCCAAGCTTTCAGTTTGATACACAGGCTTCTGTTTTCTGCCCCAAAGGTTAATACTTCGATCCAGAATATTCAGATAAGTCTTCCAAAATTATAGGGGTTTTGTTGCTGCTTTTTTTCCTGCTTTGCCTTTTTCTTTCTTTGGACTAGTATTTCAGTGGTGGGAGCAAGTCAGAAGGGAGAGATCTGTAGGGGAGAAAAATATGGGGATTGGTTTTGAGTAGCTATTATGCAGAGAAGATAGCCTTGCATATTCTTTGACATTACTGAAGTAATCTAAGCAATTTAGTGTGCTTCACACAAACATCAGATTTCCTGATCCCAGGGTACTCATGGTGATCTGGCACATAACATCGACACTTTCAGAAGGCTTTGCCTCTAAATCATCAATAGAAACCCCATCTCGTACAGAAAGCCCAAGTTCTATTGACACATTTCTAACTGTCCCATAGTTAAAACATGTTTTTGAGTAAGTAGTTGTTTCGGAAGCTGTAAACTATTCATGTACAGAATGCAGACCAGCCAGGGATATGTGACTTTAGGCATAGGATCAGATGTGGTGAGATCTTAATTGTGTTTGTTTTTTCCCCTCAGTTGCCTCTGAGATGGGTACCTATGAAGGATCTGAGCTGGTTTCTAGGGTGTTTTGTGCCTCAAGTTCATAAATGCTAAGGCAGAACTCTCTAGCTAAAAAAATCTGTGTGTTGACTTAGTATTATGAAATAGCCAAGAGTGTTGCATCCTGCAAGTGATATCCAGGGAAAATTAATAGCAATACTTTGCCTGGCACACAATTGGTCTGGCTTATGCAAGGCTGCTGTTTAAATTGGGACACTGGCTGTGTTTAAAAGCTGTGATGTAAATCCGATGGAGTGACATAGACTGCATGCTCTTTGCCCCATGGATCTCTGAAAAATAAACTACCCAGACCTCTCCAGGGGTGATTATCAAGAGCGCTGCAGTGGTCTTCTTGCATTGCCTGCCTGCCCCCCCCCCCACACACACACTTTTCAAAGAGCCTTGCTTATGCCCTATAGATCAGATGGTTTTCCATTTTGCTGATGTGAATGCAGCTTTCCACAACATGATGCCTTCCAAATTCTTTGTATGACAACTCCTATCATTCCTGTATATTGGCCAGGCTAGCTTGTGGCTGGTTGAAGGTGTCATCCAAAATACCTGGAGGGTACTGTCTTGGGGAAGGCTTCTTTCATGGCACACAGAAGTATTTCTTTCAAAGTCATGCTTCTTCCTAGGAAGTCTCCCTGTGTCTGATTCTTGCTTTGAGGGAAACTATGTTTTGGTTGAACTTCTAAGAAAAGACTGGTTAAATGGCTGCTAATTTAATGCATGAGCCTGGCTTCAGATGTCTTTCTTTGCCAGACCTGTGTGTTAGTCAAACTTTAGAAGTGAGCTGGCAACCTGCCAGGAAAATACATGTACAATCATTCTGAAACAATAGTCATCCACATCTTCAGATGTAACTGACTATTGAAGTTGGTTTCTAATGGCCTTTGTCTGCCTTCACCTAGAACAGACACTGGGCAGCTTGCTCATTTACTCACATCCATGTGAGTTATTTGCTCATTAAGCATCATTATATGACGTTCAATAATCTGTTGCTCACTTATAAATATAGTATTAAAAATCACTACTGTTTCACTTAGCATGCTAGCAGGGGATGATGGGGGTTGTAGCACAGAAAGGGAAGAATGTTGGGAAGAGATGGAATGGGGGTTAAAGGCACTTCCCCCCTCCCCCGGGACAGACCTGTATATTAAATATATGGCTGTATTTTTCCATCTGAGGCTAATGAAGCACTAGGCAGGGGAAATTTGGAGGTCGGAGAAGAGCTGCAGGCAGCTCTAGCTGAGAAAAATGTCCTACAGGGGAGGCATTTGTAGGGAAGAAATGCACCAAAGTGGATTAAGCATACCTCCTGTCCTCTAATACTTGTTCACATCTCCTCATCAAACAGGGCTGTGAGAATATTCACTGTCAAGCTTACTCATAATTCCACCCTGGGTTTTGACTTGCTGGGGGAGTGAGTGGATGAAGCCATCTGCCTTGGCCTTTGGCTTTCAACTGTGCCCCTTATGCATTTAAGATCATATTGTCAACCAGTGCTCTGAGTAATAGTTAAATCCACAGAAAGCTGGACAAGCCAAACTTGAAGTGCTCTGGCTTCCCAAGCCCTTTTCATAGAATTAGAAGCAGCAGACCTGTTTATCTGAATGGAGGTGGAGTGGTTGGGCTGAGAGCAAAAGAGGGGAACTGAGTCTGGGTTGGTTTCCATATATTTCTGAAGAAATCAAAATCGTCTCTTTCTCTGCTTGCACAATTGCGTCTCTGTACCTGCTTCCCTGGGCTTGGACTGGTGGTGTAAGGGTTTTGCCAATTCCAATTTCCTCTCTTCTGCCAGGAAGAAAAGTGCAGGGGAGAATCAAGACAGTTTATAAGCAGCAGGAGAGCACAGTGCCCCTTTTAATCTGTGTCATCCCCCCCCACACAAAGTTTCCAAAGAAAAGTATTGACAGAACATTGGCTATAGCTGAACCGCCACCTTCCCTACTTGATAACCATGCCAGTTCCTTGGGAAGGTCCAGCTCGGCTTCCAGGTTGGATTGCATGGGCCCTGCAAAGCAGGGATTCCCAAGATATTTGCAGTTGAGAACAGCTGAGAGCCTCAGGATCTCCCGTGTCACATCCG